CTGAATTCCTTAGGGTGGTGCCAGTCTCATCCTCTTAGTTTTCACATGCTCAAGCTGCGGGCTGAGGAGATGCTTGAGATTCTTCCCCCCCCCCATGACCTTGGACCTCCTCAAGTCTTCCATCACAGGAACATAGGCCTAACCATCTGTCAAAATTCACTTCCCCCTTGCCTGTGAAAACTTGCTGCTCATGACCGTATCCCAGTTGAAATGGTTTGAAGATTGGGTGAGCCTACCACTCTAATTTTTGGAGCATTCTGGGCCTTAAGATAATGTTCTGGAGTTTACTGGCTAAAAACTAAGAGCTATTTGTGAGCATTCTGCATCTGCCAAAAGATCAGTATTGTGCACCAAAACAAACTTCTATACTAGGGAAATAAGAATTATCAATTTGTGTAAATTGGGTACTTTGAGTATGTGCCATTTTTTATGTATATTTTTTCCCCCACATACTGCATCATGACTCCCTTTGCTAAATTGAAAACTAAAATTTCCCAAGATTGAAAAGTCAATTTAATTGGCTTTTAAACATCAAATGCAAGAGAACTGCATTTCCTTTACTTCAGGCTTCAAAACATCTTGGCCCAGACCTTGACAGTAATAGAAGATGTATGTAGATTGATCTTCCCGCTTCTGGGGAGAATTCCTCAAACCCTTTAGTGAATGGAGACCATGCTCTTAACTGCAAGTTAAACTTTATTTACTGCATAAGAGCAGAATACAAGATTCTGCCCACCCTCCACATGAAGACAATGGTTTATACAGTACCCTTGTTTACATCCTTAAGCATTTGAAACAAGTCCCAGTTGGAGTATTCTTAGCAGTGGAAATTGTTAATTCAGCATGCTTCAGCGGTTTCCAAATTTCTCACTTCCTTGTTCTTTTTGACAGTTTCCTAACATTAGCTTGCTACATTCCTAAAATATATATGTTTAGCAATTTAAGCAATAAGCAGGCTCTGAGAGAGGAGACCTGAGGCTTCCAATCAGGGTAGGAGCCTTTTATCCAATATTTCTCCTTCATCACCCTGGGGATATGTTCTCTATAAATGTTCTCTGGAATTTGGTGCATGGTCAGCACTATAAATCCAGCACATCTGGAAGGCATCAAGTGGATGCATGTCTTGGGATCATTCCCATCTTTAGGAAGAGTGAGGTGACTTCCCTGAGTAGCTGATTCTGGATGAAAGGGAGACATTTTTAAATCATTATTGATACTTTACTCCACAAGAGGCATATGTAAGATTTTTCTGTCTCAGGTACTAAAACAAGTTGATTGCCCTTAGGTAATACGACCTTTTGTCTTGGGGACTCCAGAGTAGAAAAGGACTATGGAGACATGGCCATTTACTGCAACTCAACCAAGGCCTTTTCTTTAAATGGCATATTTCTCCATTCTAAGATTTGGTTGATTCTAGATTTGAGGAACATTAGTGAAGTGCTCTTTGGGTGCCCTTTTCTATATCACATATATATCATTGTATCAATCATATATCAATATATCATTCAAAAATTCCCACAAATCCTCAAAAAGGTGCTGTACTATGAATTTAGGAATTGTGGGAAATTAGAAATGGCTTGTGCCTGTCCACCACAGAGGTTGAACAAACATCAACATTAGGGGGTTGTAATCTACTAAATCATCATGGAGAAGGTCTATCTATATGGTCACTTAGAGATGTCACCAACTTGGTAGCACGTAATCTGAAGCATAGTGAGATACATATTCCTACTCTAGCATAGTCTCATTCTTATTTCATTCCCATTTTACAGTATTTTCAAAAAAGTATCTTAATGCAAAGCCTCTAGCTGAATTCACATAACGGTGCCAAGCTTGTTAGCCAAACCATAGTTTATTTAATAAACTACAAATACCTAGTTTGCCCAATACTAAACCATAAATCAGTGGCTGAATTTATACAACACACTACATTATGTACTATTGTTCCTTAGGTTTTGGCTTATTGACTTGGTCAAACCAGCTCAAATGCTAAGGTAGAGAGTGGCACTGCGAGTGGAAACTCTCAAATCAATAGAAGTCCAAACTCTCTCAGTCCTACAGGTTGAACCAAATGCAAAGAGTTAATTGCATCCTTTCTGCTATTTCTGCTGCCAGGAAAACTTCTGCATTGGAGAGTTTGAACGATGTGAATGTCAGGGTCCCCCCTCTTGTTTAAATGTGCAGATCCCTTCTTGCTGCTTGTTTTTTCACTGGCTGCTGTTCCAGCAATTGTAGTCCGGTGACCAAAATTCTGCTCCTCTAGCAGTGACTTGCATAATCCAGCTGGTCTGAAGTCTCTTAAGAGAAACAAATAATTCTGTTACTTAGAGCTTCAGTCTACAAACATGTGATCCTTGTTAAATGAGAAGGTAGAATGTACCACAACAGCTGGGTAATGAGGTTAATCAGCCATTTAAGTTATTTTACCACCCGTATACCCCCAATTAACTAAATTGCAAAAAATATGTTTATACCAAAAACACTGCTGCAAATTTAGAGGATGGGCTTTTTTCATGCTAATAATCACAGGTTTCTAAAATGGCATACATGTATATGATGAAGAACGAGGAAGAGAAATGCTTTAAAAACATTTAGCTTGCCATTTTTATTAATTTGGCTCTTTTCCC